CCCCCCCCCAGTGCCTGCAAAAAGGGCCACTGGGCGCCCAGGAGAAGGTGCTCCGGGGAGAGCACTAATCGCTGAACCAGGAGACAAATACGATTACCAGCTCCGAGCCTTGAGTCAGAAAGTCTCATAGACTTTAAGATGTTAATCCCCGGCCTAATCCTTCCTTTGGCGTGTAGGAATAGTGCAGCCACAAGAGTTGTTTTGTTATTTATATTGGCGTTTAATAAAACTCAGGCAGCGGTGAATGGGCTGCCCACTCTCCAATGGTAATTAATTCCCTATTTCAGTGACCCAATTGTGCTGGGATAGAGCAGTGGGCCAGTCCCACTGCCCCAACCCGCCTTTGTGCAGCTACACGGCTCTCGTGCTTCAACAGCTATGGAAAACTCATTCTTTTGATGTCATTCAATGAGTTTTCCTTGGGCATCTTCTAAACTTCAAGGACCCTTTTCTTTCCCGCACGCCTGAAAAGCAGGACTAGCTTGACCACCTCTGTAGAATGTAATGATTTGGTGAAAAGGGCCTTTTTTTTTCTCCCCTTTTTTGGGGGGGGTTTGTGTAAGGGAAGAGAGAAAGAAAATTTGGCAGGCTGCTCTCAGACAGGGGGGGCTATCCAAACTTGAGCGCCCCCACCTCATTCAGCTCCTCGTTTATCCAGGTCTTGAAAGCCACTTTTCCTCACTCAAAATACCTCAGGGCTCCTCTCAGCTGAGTGAGGCATCCCCAGGAGGGAATTTGCTGGGAAGCAGACCCTCTTCCCCACCCGCCACCAGTTCCAACTGGGCTGTTGGACCAGTAGGAACAGGCATGATGGTTTTAAGAAGGGCGTTTCCCATCCATCAAAGGGAAGTAAAACCCCCTCCAGAATCAGTTGTGTTACCCCTTCAAGAATAAACAAGCATCTCCGGGGGTTTATCTCGTGGTACTTGGGCAGGGTGAGAGTGGGGCAAAGTGGCTGCAGAAGGTGCGTGTGAAACAAACACATGAAGAACATGTAGGAACCTTTGCAGAGTCTGCCCAGCCCAGGCAGCTTCTCCTGCGTCTTTATACACAGGGAAGGAAGGAAGGAAGGAAGGAAGGAAGAGAAAGAGAGAAAGAGAGAAAGAGAGAAAGAGAGAAAGAGAGAAAGAGAGAAAGAGAGAAAGAAAGAAAGAAAGAAGAAAGAAAGAAAGAAAGAAAGAAAGAAAGAAAGAAAGAAAGAAAGAAAGAAAGAAAGAAAGAAAGAAAGAAAGAAAGAAAGCCCTTCGCAAGAGACAAACAATTCAGGATTCAAGCAAGGAAGCACAGAGTGAACCATATGGCTGGGGTGGCCCGAGTTGGCTGCATTTTCCCCCAGACAAAGAAGGGATTGAGAGTTGAAGGAAAGGAGAAAAAAAAACCCAACCCCAACTTTCCGGCTGATGAAGCTGTTGTCTGGAGGCAATGATCCCAAATCTCAAGGCTTTATTCCAGGCTCCGACCGAGACGTGATATGTCATATGATTAGCATCTTTCATATTTTACAAGAGTAGCAGGGGCTGCCGGTCTGGGGAGAAAGGGCCGGAGAGAGAAGGGGCATATGCTGAGCTGGATTTAGCATTTGAAAGAGAGAGAGAGAGAGAGAAAGAAAGAAAGGAAGGGGGGAAAAAAGCGAGCGGATAAATACACTTAAACGAGGATTTAGTTTTGCTCCCGTCGCGTTATAATGGCCGGTTGATTGAGATTTTTCGGGAGCTGTAAGGGAGGTGGCAGCGCTAATTTGAAGGCGCTGGTCAACCCGCCGCTGCTACTCTCCCTGCCCCGCTCCGC